AAGATGTTATACAGGGGAATCTGGAAAGGGGTCAAAAAATCAAGTCAAAGCCCCACTCCTTGCACTGCAATTTAGAAGAGGTACATTCAGTTACACGGTCTCAGTCACCATCTTGACTTTTTTGCCCCCACCCACCTGCAATGCCCCTAATGTCAAGAAGACATTGCAAGAGTGAGAAGCGTCTTTCCCACTGTATGGTTCTATGTGGAATTTTGTGTCCACAGGAGTACATGAGAATGATGGGTCTAAGTAACTGGCTACACTGGAGCGCATGGTTCCTCCTGTTCTTCCTTTTCCTCTTAGTGTCCATCTTCTTTGTGACCATCCTCTTCTGTGTCAAGGTGAGCATCTTCATTTTTTTTTTAATTGAACCCTTTGAAGAAAATATATAAACAAATACAAGAAAGAACATGGAAAAAATAAAAGAATATAGTACAGATAAATAAACCAAGGATTTAAAAATGTCGTGGAAGTTATAGCTTTTTCTAATATTGATTAGTCATGAATAGTTCCATATATTGTATACATCCCATTAAGGGACTAAGAATCACTATTGAATATAAGCTTAAAATAAGCATCAAAAACCATGATAAATGCAATATAAATATAGGCAGCTAAATTGTACCTAAAAATATTACTAAGAATCTCATAAATATAGATTCTGGGCATAGAAAAATCCAAATTTTTGATGTGGTACTAATCCCTGTTTTAAATTATAATCTAAGAATGGTTTCCAGTTTGAGCTGAAATCTGTTACATTTGCTTTTAAGGTAGGGAATTATTCTCAACATGGAAACATCTTCCCCCAGCACAGTTAGCCATTCTTCCACTGAAAGGATCAGATGACCTTTCCAGTAAGAACATATGGTATCCTTGCAGCAGTTAGCATACATAGAATTAATTCAGTATGCTTTGAGGGGATATATGGTTTAGAAAAGTTTACTAGGAATATTGTAGGTTGAAATGGGAATTCCGTTTTTAAGATTTGTTTTAAACTAGAGTGAATCATTTTCCAGAATTGTTGAACTTTATGGTATTGCCACCAAAGGCCACCATCTTCCAGGAGATGTTAAACATGTCCATTGTCTACCTTGATAGTCATCTCATGAAGGACAGAAGCATTTGTTAGGGCTTGGGCAGGATGATGCAAATCCTTATAAGTGGTAAAGGCAGCTGGATGGGGTTTGGGGAGCACGTTCACCCTTTTCTCTCCCCACCCCCATTTCTCAATCTAAATCTGCCCCTCTGAAGTGTCCATGAACTTACAAGGAAATATTTTTGCTGAGATAGTGCTACTTCCCTCTCAAGTGTTTATAGTAGCTGCGAGAGGTGAGTCAGATCTTGAAAAAATGCCAGCTAAATTTCACCACATTTCCAGCATCTTGCAGCCATCCAGTTTGAGCATCTCATCGTTCATTTTAAGGAGGAAAATAGAAACGTTGAATGCTTCAGCCACATCAGTCTCTTGGCCCATTCTGTTGGTTTCCATGAGGGTTAAATGTTTAACGTTTCCATGTGAATAAAAGGCATTTTCTGTTATGACAACCAGTTAGAACATCATTAACCCTGTGACTTCTAATGATTAATTACTGTGAAATATATTTTTGTATTGCCAGAATGTCAGTTCAAGGGCCTTTTGGAAACATTGTACATAAAATGTGTGACCCTGTTCTAAGAAAAAAGAACATCTTTTCTCTGAAATTTCTGAAATAACCCAGAATCCAAATGATGATGATGATCATCATCATCATCATCATTGAATAATAATAATATAATAACAAAACATTGATACTAGAATGTGACTATAATTACATGTATCCAAACTGATAGAGTGTGCCTTTTCTGATTAAGGTTGATTCACTCCACTTAATCAACTTTGGTGGATTAATCAACTGATGGATGTTCAGCCTTAATCATTACATCGCTCTCCAGACTCTGGTCTGTTTTGGGCCCCCAGGATTTTCCTCCAGTGACGCTTGCATGGCTGGAGGAAAGATGGAGCCTCTGTGATCCCTACTTGCCCATTTTTCTTCCATATTTGGACTTTCTTCGTTTCATATTTTTGGGATGAGCCCTGAAAGAGTAGGAGAACTTACTGAAAGCCTTCCATGTTTGCAGGTGAGCGAACAGGGAGCAGTGTTGCCAAACAGTGACCCAACTCTGGTGTTTACCTTCCTAGCAGTGTTTTCCATCTCAACCATCTCCTTCAGCTTCATGGTCAGCACGTTCTTTTCAAAAGGTGAGCAAGAGAGTTCCTACTGTTGCTTCCTGTTGGGCTGCCTATTCACACAATCCCAGTTGAGCTGCTCTCTTTCCCTATTACATAACAGCTTGACTCTGGGCGACCACATGGACATTTTCTTGATGATCATACAGAAGGGGTTCACCCCTACCTTGTGCTGGGTTGTGTTTTTTCTTTCTGTGGGAGCCCTGGGACTCTCTGGTAGTCTCCCATCTGAGTATTAATCATGTTTGACCCATCATAGCTTTATCAGTATTACCAACAGTTTAAAAAATGAAAATATGGGATATAGACAGAGACAGTATTCTTTCCTACCTACCTTATCTGCATGGACAAATTTTACTTGCCTTTCAGCAACCACATTTGCTTGTCACATTTGGAAATATTACAGGCCCTGCAGACCTGTTTAATCTGGGATAAGACAACAAGTACTTTTATAAAAGATTGGAAACCCCTTATGGGCTTTTCACTGAAAATGGAAAAAAATGAATTGGTGACTTATGGATTGGCTGATTAAACAGGGTTGAATATGGGAAGAAAAGAACCATGTTGTAACTTTAAAGAGGGAGAAGAGATAATCAATTTGTTTGTAAGTGCTGTAAAGAAGATCAGAAGCCACTCCTTCTCTTCTCTTCTCTTCTCTTCTCTTCTCTTCTCTTCTCTTCTCTTCTCTTCTCTTCTCTTCTCTTCTCTTCTCT